GGCTGAGGGAAAAGAGTGGAAGGTGCTTGGGTGGAGAATCAGGGACAGGAACCTCGGACCTCCAAGGACTTTGCAGGGGAAGGACTTCCTGCACTGTGAAATGTGACTTCATCCAAGGATATGTGAAGTCAGGAGAAGAATGAGTCACACTTTTTTTAAATTTTTTTTGTTTGTTTGTATTTTAGGGAAGGGTCTACAGGATGCAAACTGAGACCACACTCTTAAATAGAGTAAGTCAGGCTCACATGTGCAAACTTTGTATTTTCTCCGTGGTGTGAGAAAGCAAAAGTAAATAGGGCTAAAACATGCAGTGGAAATGTGAAAGGGGAAGAAACTGTCCAAAAGGAAAGAACAGCTAGGATGGGAAGGAAAGGGGCAAAAAGGAAAGGCAAAAAACCCAAAATAAGATACACTATAGTTATATTACTAGTGGGTCTTAGTTTATTGAACAGAAAGGTTTGTGCTATTACTGTTTGGAGAATTTTTATGCCCATATCTTGTACTTTGAGTAAGTATTTTGAAGATAACAAAATGTGGTATTATTCAATTATTTTGTTATGAAATTCTGTCTTATTTTTTCTATAAGAAAAAAATAATAAGTCCATAAAATACATTGGATTAAGATTTATAATTTTGAAAACACCATCCACACTTTATGGAAATCATACATCACTCTCATTCTCCCAGTGGCCCCTCGTCCCTAGGCCTATGGTTTTTTTTCTTTAAGAAAAAAAAGCTTTAAAACAACTTTAGTTCTTGATTAATGAACAAGATAAGTTCATGGTGTGGAAGATGGTGCTTTGTGATAGGAATGACATCGTTTTTATGTACTGCTGGGGCTTACAGCCTTCTGCGCTTTGCTCTAAATTATAGCATCCGCTGCAGTTCCGTACCATGCAGACATGATGGGATTGTTTTTTATACATTGATAAACTAGGGCTAGGCTAATTACCTACAACATGCTTTTAAAGATTTAAACTATTTCTTAATATATAGGATGTTATTTTATACATAGTGTTTTGTTAGATAACATCATTTTATATTGTATTATATACACATTATAATAAATATAATATTCCACTATTATATGATAGTGAACAAGATCAAAATATGCATCCATTTGCATTCAAATTTGCATCCATTTGCATATTTTGCCACATCTTCATTTGAAGAACAAACTTAAAAAGAAAAGTGCCAACTATCAGGTATTTATAAACTGATGTTTTATCCCATAATGTTTTATGCCATTAAAATGTATAAGGAAAAGAAAAACTATAAAGAATAATATAAAGCAATACCTTTGCCTTAAAAAGACATATCAGGACTGGCAATATCTCGCACCTGCTTAGGCAAGTGCAGGGCCTGGGGTTCAATCCCTGGCACCAAATGCTGGGCTGGCCCTGCCACCAGGCACACTGAGCCAGCAGCTGAGTTTGGGCATGGTGGCGTAGGCCTGGAATCCCAGCGCTGGGAAGGCTGAAAACAGGAGGATCACTAGAGTTCAAGCTGCATAGTGAGACCCTGCACACACACACACACACACACACACACACACACATCAATTGATAGATAACAGCTAATTTAATTCTGCGTAAGCAGAGCCAACCATATTTTCCTGCTTAACTCAGTAGACGAGGGAGGAAGGAACATATGCATGTCATTAAAAACAACAGGCCACACTAACAGTGCTGCCCTATAGGGAAAGCAGAAAGGCAGAGAGAGTCCTGGGTAGGCTGAAGCCAAAGCAGCAGAGCGAAACCTTGGCTTATTTTGGTGGTTATATTTTATATTTAGAAAAAATCAAATGATCAGATTTATTTCCTCTGGAAAGTGTTTAGGGACATTTTAATAATGACAAAGTGATCCTCTACTGTATGAGATCTGTGGTGTGCTGTCCTCCTCGGAGTTATGGGGTTCGCACCTCACAGCACGGGGCAGAAAGCAGTGCAGCCCGCAAAGCGCCCCAAATTCCTCATCCCTTACTGAAGTCACAGCAGTTGACAGCGAGAGAACGTCCATCTCCCAGGAACAGCCTTGCAGAGTCACACCTCGTGCTCCATCTGCACCGGTGTCTCAGACGCAGGGTGGGGTGCAGTCCCAGAAAGTTGCCAGCCCCCGGGCTGCTTGTGCCTCGAGTTCCCCTAGACAGGATCCCCCTTTCCCCACCCCACTGCTAGAACACGTACCCAGCTCCTTTTCGTCTGACTTGCAATGTACACTCACAGTTCACAATGCAGGTCCCGTTAGCTCTTTGGTGACACCTTCCCCAAGTGCCCCAGGGGCAGCTCACTGTGCCCCTGGCCTGCCACTTGTCCCACCATATGTCCACCACGTGACGGCCACATACGAGTCTTGCTGTGAGCCTGGCCCATCCCCTTGCCTGCTGCTAGCAGTATGCGGCACCCAGGAAGTGCTCCATAAATGGTTTTCCTATAAATTAATGATTCAAAAGAGCCACCTGTGTACAGGTTTTAATTTTTATACTACTTTGTTTTGAAAGTAATAATTTAGGTATTTCCAACACATTTCCTTACTGTAATGTTTTTGGCATTTAAGGCAGCTTGAGTTCTGATTCTGGCATTTACAATTAAAAAGTTAATTATTTCTACTTCTTAAGTCATCTGTTACTCGGATAACGAGTTAAAACAGTGAGTCAATTCTGTACGTGCATCTTTCCATGGGATAATACCTACTGCAGTACTGGTGACGCATGCGTGCTTGTGTGTCAGG